ATATTATATCCCCAGATGATTTTATGCAAATATTGTATTAGACTTTTTCGAAGAGGCGTTAAAGTTGTACTGTCGTCTAATTTCGTTTTATTTGAAATAGGCATCCATAGATAAATGAAACAAGTTTAGATTGGAAAGTGCCCATAAGGACAATGTAAACACTATTTGGCGCTATACTTGCAACGGTCGCGACACAAAACTTTTGAAAATTTCGGAGCGGTTCGGCTTTTTCCGGAATTATATCGCCAAATATTGTTTATTCAAATTTATTATTATTCTTGTTTAATTTTATAAATAAAATACAGTGTGTTGCATACAAGAAACTTTATTTTATATAAGGACGCATGTATGAAACACCTATGAAACTTTGGAAACCGACGTTATGCCACGATCCACGATGGTTTTTGCAGTTCACAGCACAGCTTTCTAAGTTTTTAATGCCAGTTTTTTACAGTTATCACCGTTGGAGTAAATAAAACTTGAATTAAACTCACAAGATAGCAATAATTACTTTGAAAATGAACGCGAATATAAACATTTTTCGGAATTTCTTTAATGAGAGCGGTTTAGATTTTGAAAGATTATTATGATTTTTGAAGATTCTGACTTTGACAAGAGATAATTATTTCTGTTTTTGTTTGCCGTTGTTCTTAGCGACCACTATAGTAGCGCCAGATCGCATATAACGATCGCGACCAGAGAGAAACTAATAACTAAAGTGAGAGGGCTTGTGGAATAGGGCATTTCGTAGACAACTTTATTTTGTCACCGCGCATCCCAGACGCGCATAGCGTTTAGGCGGTCAAAAAAGGAAGTTTACAACTTTGCAAGTTAAACATTTGACAGGATTAATTAGATTCTACTATTTCTTTGTTCTAGAAGGAGATAACAAAAATCTGTTGATAATCGGAGCAAATCGGAGTAATAAATTGTTTTTGACTGAACGTGCCTGTTCTTTTAGCTTGTTAGAAGAGAAGATTATTGTCATTATTGATTATTTCAGAATCCACGATTATTCGGCATTTTTGTAATTTTTGTTTTGTGGTTGAGACCCAGACTTTCCTTTAAGGGTAAGTTTTATCTCGGTAATTATTTGAACATACCTAATAGTAATAGTGAGTGCACATAATAATCGTACATTGCTAATTTATTTTTTTTTAATTTAAAACATCACATTCTTTTCTGATACCTATGGAACGACTAGGTGTTATACCTGGTATTATTTCCAGTAATACAAATTATTTTCTCTAACTGCTAGGTTCTTGTTATAGAATAAAGACTATCAAAAACATTGAATACCTACGGGATACCTACTGATACTCTATGCGAGCTCCCAACCGTGCTTCCCTGTTCACTCCCAATCAAGTTAAATTTAGAATTTAGAATGAGTGGGAGGGGGGTTAATCACTTCGACCTTACAGATCCATTGTGTCCCCCTTTCTTGAATCATAACTCATCATACAGTCTCAGGGCTTTGACAAAAGCCAGTATCTGGGACGGTTTTATAGAGGGTAGTTCTCCATCTCCAATATCAGTCGTACCAAAATTCATGGCACGAATGGTTGTCGTCTCGGCGCACTCAGTGATGAGGTGTGCTGGTGTTTCACCATCTTCCCCACAGAATCTGCATTCGCCGTTTCTTCTTAGTTTCAATCTACTGAGGTGTTCATTGAGGAGACAGTGTCCTGTTAAAAACCCCGTGACAATCCGAAGATTGTTCTTACTCAGACCCAGGAAGATCTGTGATTTTTCTTGATCATAAGCCCTCAGAAACTTCTTCGAGTGTCTTAGACCATTGCAAGATTTCCATTCCAGGTTGCGGATGGAATCTTTCAAGTTCCTGAGTTCCGCCTTGAGTTGGTTACCACTTGGAAAGCAGAACGGTTCTGGTCCAGTTAGTGGAGTGTTCGCTCCTTTCCTAGCTAGATTATTTGCTTTTTCATTGCCTTCTATCCCTTGGTGAGCAGGCACCCAGTGTAGGAGGACTTTGTTTTCTTTGCCTAATTTATTCAGCTTCTCTATGCATTCTTTGAATAAATTAGGCATAACAAATAATAAAATACAAATAAAAGAAAGAAACATTTGGAACTAAAGGAACATTCCACAGAGGTGTCGTTTCCAGTCTATCTAAATTTCTGTATTTAATATGCCCATGTAAACGGTTTTTGAGTGTGCTCCACAGGAAGAAGTCTTTTGGCGAAAGATCCTGTGGTCTTTTCCTACTGTATCCCCAATAAACGGGAGTCAATGTTTTTCTTTTCTTCAACATGTAGAATATTCAAGTCATTGTTATTTTCTTCCTGTTCAATTATTTTTGTCTTCACACATCCATGTGCATATACCTTAATACTTTTATTAGCCGGTTTATTCTTTAATTGTATATTAATTGTAGGTTTTTCTGGAGCGTATTATAAATTTTATTGATTTGAATGTAGATTTTTGCAAATAACTTTTAAATAACTATTCAAAATGAAACGAAATTCTACACAAAAGTACAACTTTAACGCCTCTTCAAAAAAGTCTAATACAACTTTTGCATGTTCCGTATTCCGATGCACTACACGATACATACATTTTTGCTGATAAGGAGAATGTGTTTCGACGAATGTGCATCCAAAAATGTTTTTATGTCGATGGTAGGTCTACAAGGGAAATCAGAATACTTCAAATTTATTCCTAGAGTTTAATTTCGACTTTTGTCGTATCGTTATTCCGAGTTTCTAGATTTTTGAGATTTGATTGATATGTGTCCTAGTCTTTTTCTGATTATTTTTTGTATTTTTCTGAACTGATTCTAGTTTAATTCTAGTTAATTGAGTTTTATACTATTTGTTTAGACTTTGAATCGTTGCACTCTGCAACTTTATCTTAGATAGGAACTATCGAAAACAGTAAATAGCCATCTTATCCGATAGTCAAGCAGCACTAAAAGTGATCAATTCGGTAACCATCAATTCAAAGTTGATCAAAGAATGTGTGGAAAAGCTGAACAAATTAGGAAAAGAAAGTAAAGTTCTCCTACTCTGGGTTCCAGCTCATCAAGGAATAGAAAGCAATGAAAAAGCAAACAAGCTAGCTTGCAAAGGAATACTCTATTAACTGGACCAGAGCCGTTCTGTTTTCCAAGTGGAAACCAACTTAAAGCGGAACTCAAAAACCTGGAAGACTCCATCCGTAACCTGGAATGCAAATCATCCAACGGTCTTGTGACGAATTTTTCTGTCATTACCCAAACAGAAAGAAAAAAGTATCCGTTGCTCAGGGTTAGAGAAAAGCTGGGTTCGTAGGTAAGGCTTCTGGCTTGCGGTGACTTTTTAATGTTATTAAATATTAAAATAAAAATGATAATATTTAGGCTGCAAAGATTTTAATATCGATGTTAAGTATTTATGCAGATATGGTCAAAGATAGTAAAAAGGGACTTTGTTTATATAAGAGGTAAAGTAAGAAACCAAAATGAAGAATATTTTATCACAAAATAGCTAGAATAAAGTAATCAACAGCAATAAGGGTGTAGTATGTTTATCAAGAATAAAAGTCAGAGATAACTATCCTACATTAAACATTTATTTAAAAACGAACACAAGTACCAGTTAGTTTCAACGATCCCAATAAAACTGTAAGTTATTTTAAATAAATTCGAATTTAGTAATTGTATTCTTTGAACTATGCTACTGTATATAAAAAAAGGTGAAATTTATGTATGTATCAAAACGATAATGTTTCGAAACATGTCGTGTAGAAAAACCTTCAAGAATGAATACGTGTTAATAATTTTCATATAAAATATCATAACCAAGTAAAAGTATACTGTTTGAATCAAATTATAACTTATAAAGTTAACTGAAAGGTAATTTTGACTATAATATATGGGATAAATAGTAATAATTTACAGATATATTAAACTGTTGTCTCAAAAATTGTAAAATAAAAGAGTACCTTGTGTATCAAACTTAGGACTTATCTGTATAGTTTCTTATGATGTTGTAAACAGGTAGATAGGTAGGTAGTCTCCAGACTAACAGAAGTGGAAGCAGATGACTATGGCAAGTCTTCGATATCAGTAAAAAAACAAACGTAAAGTCATGAATGCTGTCTTAAGGTCCATACAAAATGAAAGTGGGTGAAATTTAAGCGGCATACAATTACTGTGTCCCATACAATTACTATGTATCATACATTTACTCAGATCCATATAGTTACTCTATAAATAAAAGAGATAGTTCTCAGAACAGACGCTTAACACAAAAAATAACTTACGGTCTGAAATTCAGCTTTACATAAACCAAAATATATTCAAACCATATGCTGGTCCAAACCAGTAATTAAATATTAATCAGTCTTATCACAGAATAAATCCAAAAACGGGAATAACTGAAATAAAATTAGTTAGTTATGGCGATGCAAAATGGCGGAAACACTTACGGTGATAGATTCCAGGAAAAACCCAAACAAATACGAACTATACTCTGAACTGCATACTTTAAAAAGGTCTTCAAATCTCCAGATCGGATACCCATGCAATTACAGTTAAAAAGCGGATTCAGAGTGCTTTTTATTGAAAGATTTGTATGGACGCCGAACAACGCGTCTCAACAGATCCAATCTCTCAGAAAAAAGAAAGACGGCCTACTTCTTGTTTTTCACCTCTCTTCTCGTATTTGTAAAACGGAAATGGAAGATAGAATGACAAGTGACATCACCAGACAAAAGACCGAGAAAAGTGAACTATAATATATTATGAATTTTGGCAAGTTCGACATGTAGCGAATAGGAAAAAATTAAATAATAAATTATAATAAATGTAAAATTGTACACATCCAGCACACCGAACTATGATAAAAATTGTTTTTACTGATTGTTTATTTTATTTTTACTTTTTACAGTGTTTTCTATTGCCTTGGATCTCATTCTATCATGGCGCACGTTCATGCTCATTTTTCCTATTTTTATATCTCTGATGTAAATATAAAAAATACATATTATAATTATATTTGCAGGTGTTGGACATACTGAAGACACTTTCTATTTATTTGACATTAAGGCATTTCCTAGAAACGATAAAGACCTGAATATGACAAGAAAATTAACTAAATTGTATAGCAACTTTATTAAATATGGGTAAATATGACATTAATTGATTTGGATTTAGCGATACCATTAAAGATTATTTTTAGTATTTATGTTAATAGTTATAAAGCATAGTTTATTTAATTTTTAACAAATTTTAGTGAAAAATATGAATATGGTAGACAATGATTCAGTAGTGATTCAAAAATAATTACGAACATTCATTATTTTTATTTATTTTAATCTATACAACAATAATCTAAATCTTATAAAACTACTGGCTGGATTCCTTTCTCAATCACCTCAATTTTCACAAAAAGACTCCACCAAATTTACGATTGATACAGAAAACAACTTCTGCTTGTCGTTTTTGCCTAGCTTTTCTTCGCAATAGAAATGGTGGATCTATTGGCACTTATGAATATAGAAAACCGACACACACGGAACAGTATTTAAATTTTCAGTTGGAAATAAAGTTACAACTTTATGTTATAAAGCTTACACCATACAAGCAGTGACCAAACAACTCTTAACACTGAACTAAATAATATTAAAACGGATTTATTTCAGAATATTTTCACTCGGAGGTACCTAGACAAAATTTTATCTAGTAATAAAACAGATTTATTGGTGTACCAGGCTAAGTAAGATGTCCTCTCCATTTAATAGCTTAAAACTAAACCTTAAATGTTAGTTTTGACTATTTCAGTTGTAAAAGAAACATTCGAAATAGTCTGGCGAATTGTCAAACAATATAACATTAAAACTGTTATCTGGAACTAATCTAGACAGCGTCTTAACATAAATAAGACCGAAAAAATTATTAAATATCTCCAAGATACGTATCTTGGAGAAATAAAACGTCATCTGTACGACTTCATTATCAATTTCAGCCTATTCAACCATTTCCAATTATGGTGTAGTCTCCCTTGCATATTTAGATACTCTCTTTGTAGATGGGTCTATTGTTGTATTTTGTTGGCTATGTGGGCCCAATTTATCCCTGCTAATTTCCTTATATTATGGTCCCATCTCAGGTCTGGCCTTCTTCTAGGTCTCTTAATTCCTCGTAGGTACCATGCTGTAATTTTTCTGGTACATCTGTTTCCCGCCCTTCTTACCAGTTGTCCTGTACATTTCTACTTTTGTCGTATCCACTCTATTCTTTTACGATCGTTCTTGGTTATTTCCAGCATATTTCGTTCCATTAGGTGTTGTGCGACCTGCAGTTTCCTTATAATATCCGTTTTAAACGACCAGGTTTTGCAAGCATAGGTCATTACTGGTAGTATATATTGGTTGAATATTTTCTTCTTTAGATAAAGTGGCATTTTAGACTTGAATATGATTTAGTTTCTTCCATAAGTTCTGTTGATTTCTGGTAGCAGAGATCCCGAGTTGTGTACTAGTTGTCCCAAATATACCTATATATTTTTCAATTTTCAGTGTTGTGCTATTTATTAGAATGTTATTTCTGTCTAAATATACGACTTAACTATCAAAAAATATTCGAAGAAATGAAACAATGAAGTCGGGAATTGTAGACCATGTGTGGTAAAAGAAGTATAATATAAGATAGTCAGAAGCTCGGGTTTTCCACAAAGAACCTCATTGGAAAAATCTAAATTTAGGGAAGCCGTTTTTATACCAAACAACAATAATATCTTTAGCAATCCTAGTATGGAAATTTCAACAACATATCAAACGTGTCAATGCTGATATTCTCAGCGGGCAACCTCACGTTAGACTGCACTTAAGTGCGTCACAGGCTTGCAATAGTATATAAGCTCAATAGTTTTAGAATTTAGATTATTGGAAACTTGAAAATGATTAGTGAAAAATAGGACCCAAACGTTGAATAAGTTAAATAATGACAATAGAAGTTAAAAATTCATTTTTCATTAAAAATATTTATTTCAAATTTTACTTAGATTAAACAAATTCTTGTTTTTAGTAATCCCACTCCAAATAAAGAGTCTATATTAGACAACGTCACGTGGCCAAAGGTAATAGGCAAAAAAGTGCCATTTTTAGAAATTGATACCAAAATGAAAGTAGTAAAAGAAAATTTCGACGAAAGCAATTATCAACATTGGGAGTATCTTTATCAAACTTATGGAGAAAAACCATTTAAAGTCTATTAAATATTATTATTGAATTATTTTTGTAGTTTTATTTCCTTTTTTTTCTGTAAAACGTTTATCAATAATTTCACTATTTAGGAATCTAATTATATATTCCTAAGAACCTACAATTTATACTTAGAGTTTATCAAACAAAATGAAGTAATATTGAATGCCATTTTCATTCACTTCAATATTAACATTAAGTATCCTGTCATTTGTCGATTTTCACTCACATTTTTATGTGAGTGTTTACTATACTTTTGTATAGAAAGTAAACAATCAATATTATAGGCTTTGTAAAGAGAGGATACAGGACAGTGACAGTTGTGTCTGTCATTTTAATTCACCGGTAAAATCTCTCCAACGAATCAAAGAAGATTTCGACAGATGACATCCAAAAAATGATAGCATATACAATTTACCTGCGACTTAAAATGCAGATACGATACTGTCATATATATCGAGTCGTTTTGGATGTCGTCGGTCGAAATATTCCCAGACTTGTTAGGATATTTTAGAAAAAATGTAGAAAAATATTGTAATCTCGAAAAAAAAACTGAAAATGCAAAGAGATCGGGTTTATTATTTCAATTTTTAAAAGCTTATGACTTCCCAATAATACAGTGATGTAGCATACTTGTCCAAAAATACATTATAGAGATAAAAGGCAATGTAAAGGAAAGAGGGAGAGAGTTAAAAATCGCCTATAATTGTATATGTGAAAGTAAACAGGCAACATATTTTAGGTAAGTGCATTTTATGGTACATCATTGCATTTAGGAGGCCAAAATGTATAAGGAATAAATATAACAAAAGTCATGACCGTATTTGAAAATAACATAGTGCGGAATTATCCAACGACAATTTTTTTTTGGTCAAAAGTAACCATTTTTAATAGGAATTTTACACAATAATAAATGCCGATTATGCCCTAAATTTTTAAATATTTAAATTTAGCACAGTTTTAATCGAATTTAACACATGACAACATGACAAAGACATTCAAAGCAATCAATTAAGTATGAATATAATAAAGTCCAAAGAACCGCGAACAAAAGGGTTGAAAAGATGGGTGAGTAGACAAGCCTATTGTATTAATCGTAATCTACATATATAAAATGCTAATGTTTATCTGTGTCGTCTCTACTGAAGTAACGACTTGCTCTAGAAAGTTGCTTTTTTTCTAAAAGATAGCTAATTAGCTCTTCTAAAAACTGTCGTCGCCGGATTTTTTGGTTTTCATTTAATTAAGCAAAAAATAAAAATTATTTTTTTTCTGATGTCGTGGCAGATGCGCCAGGCTTCAACTAGTACTGTTATAGTGAAAATGAAATACAATTATTTTTTAAATATTTATATGGGAAAGATACTTTTTCTGCATCAGATTTTATTCAAATAAACTAAAAAAATTAAATTTAACACAAAATAGGCTTCATTTTCAAAAAGAAATTTGTACACAGATAATTGTCCGGGTTGTAGGTACAAAATTATTGAAAATAATTTGGTTCAAAGCATTAATTAAATCTTGGAAAAAGCTATAATTTATTTGCGATAGGAATTGATAAAACAAGAAGCTAGGTATTTCCGATTTTATTATACACTGTCGTGAGACACCTGTTAAAAAGGGTCTATTCTTTACAAAAAATAATGTGTAAACGCTATAAAGCTTAATGTATCTCTAAAATCATACAACTAATAATGAATATACTCAATTTTATGACAATGCAGTTGTTGTATTGTTTGTGGTTAAATGAGATCGGACCAAATGACCCCTCTTTATCACTTCCACAAACCATTCGAGGTGAACAAAATGGATCGAGGAATGTGGACAGATATAACATTTCTTCAGGATGGACTAACCTAGTATACAGACGGGTCAAAGACCGCTGAAGGAACAGTAGCTGGAGTATTTGGGGAAAGACCAAGGGCAAGCTTATCCTTTTCCTTGGGCAGACACTCAACCTTATTCCAGACAGAAATCTTCGCCACTCAGACAGTCAGGCGGTACTTGGGGCGCTTGTGAACCCAAAGGTATCGTCGAGACTCGTCTGGGAATGCCTGGGTGAACTGAGAGCTCTAGTACGAAGGAACAGAATTAAATTATTCTGGGTGCCGGGCCACAGCGGCATCCAAGGCAACGAAAAAGCCGATGAGCTAGCTAGGCAGGGATCATCGGCATCCTATCTTGGTCCAGAGCCAGTACTGGGAATACCCAAATGTATGGCCCGTAGTGCACTAAAACTCTGGATCAAGGAAAAGCACAATGTCCACTGGAGAAACAGACAGGGGCACAGGCACAGCAAGGCTTTTATCCAAGGACCTAGCTCTAAAACCGCAAAAGAACTGCTAATGCTTAGCAGGAATAAAGTGCGGATTACAACAGGCCTCTTGACAGGACACATGGCTGTCAAGTGTTATCTGAACAAGCTCAACCTGTATCAAGGAAGTCTTTGCTGCAGACTCTGCGATAAAGATCCTGAAACAGCGGAGCATATATGTCATTGCGAGGCTCTGGATCGCAAGCGACACTCTTTATTTGGGAAAGCTAGGCTAGAACCGGAGGAACTATGCTCCCATCCTATCAAGGACCTGCATAAGCTAGTGTAGGGATATAGAAGGGGGACAAACACAATAGGCCTCACAGGTCGCAGTGTTTCCGGCAGAGGACGGCCCCTTGTTATGGAAAAAAAATTGTTTGTTGTTGGCCAAGGAAAAATGTAGATTAGATTAGATATTTCAGGTGGCTATCGGCCTAATCCACTGCGACCTTTGCAGATCTACTGTGTGGTCCTCTTCTGATAATTAAGATATAGTATCCAGTCCAATCCTTTTCAAAAAGTTTAACAACTTGAAGACTGAATCCTCCATATAGCTCTTTGTCAATGGTCTATTATTGTCAAGTACAAAGAATCGTTCATTTGCCAGGCTTGCGCACTGACATAAAATTTGTTCTGTTGTTTCTTCTTAAGTCTTAAGACTGAAAAAACCTGCACGTGGCTTCGTCTGTCAATCCCGTTAGCTTTAAATACCTTAATCTACGACAATGTCATTATGACACATTTAACATTGTTATTTGGACTAGTGCTATTATGAATTCATAATAACACGCAAATTTTAAAATAAGAAACAAGCAAAAGAAGGTACCTAAATACGTTTATTTATTGTAAACAGTAATAATTATAATATCGGTACAATTGGTTAAATTAATTCCAGACGATGACAGGTGAGTTGAATTTTTAGAAAGTAAATTTATTTCCTGAGTGCTTGAACTTGTTGAAGACCCATCATTTCCAGAAATGTTACCCAAAATATTACATGACACTTTTTTCTTATTTTCCTTGGAATTTTCTATATAGCTCTCTGCTACTGTGTTAGAGCGCCAACCACCATGTCTTTTAACAGTTAATAAATCCACTCTTGAATCTGCAAGCCACGACGCAGGCGATCTAGGGAAACAATGTCCAGGGTTATGTTGTGGATTTGGAAGACTTAGGAACAATGCTATTTTGTACGGCATTTTTCCTAAAGTATTAATGCCAATGGGTTGCTTAATACATTTTCCATTTCTGTACCCCACAAAAAATTGAGTATGCTCTGTGTTGCTTGGTCGCATACCTATATATCTTCGAACCATTTCCACTATATTTATTCCTTCAACATTCCTTTTCGTTATAAAAAAATCTCGTGATATCTTTGTTTTCGTAAATGGAATAATGACATGAATGCATTGTCCTTCATCTTTAACAGTTTGCAGCTGCAGATTTGTCAACTCGATACGCCGGCAGGTTCCCGCAAATCCCACAATCAATGAAACTTTTGTCAGGAAATAAGTTTTATCATGGGCTTCCAACAAAAAACGAGTTATATCTTCTTTTCTTAAAATTCTCGATTTTTTTTACCGAAATCCTTCCGATTTTCTTTTTAGAAATGCAATTAAATGAACGTACTTACTAATATCTGTATTTTTCTTCACTGATATAACTGAACGTGGCTTGGAATAATATACCCAAAGTGAGGAAGCCTTCCTATATTTTGAAAGATGTTCAAAATATGCCAGGAGAACCTTTTCGTTACTACTATTCTTGATTCCTTTTCCTTTACACCAATCTTCAAGTTTTACATAGGCTTGCTCGTACGTTTGTCTTGATTTTTCGGGAAGTAGGGAATCGACAACGTTTTGCGCAATGCCTTCAATATCCGAAGGAACACTTTCAGAATCGGAATCACCCATATTAATATTATTTTTTGCTTTTTGCTAAAACTGAACGTTTAACACAAAATTGAACATCAATAATTGAGATGTCAAAGTCAAAATGGAAACAATCAACAAGCACAGTTACAACGGCGTCGACTAATATGGGCACCTGATAATTTTGAATTTTAATTTTTATGTGGATATCACTGATATTTTAAATTAAATCAAATCTCTTTGGATCATCCCTCGTGTCGCGTCGTAGATTAAATTTTGAATGATACACGTTCGATACGAACTCTCTAATGAAACTTGTGTAACTTAACGTTACACGCGTTTCATTATGATGTTCATGTACAACCTAATCGAACTTGTATCATTAATCACTATTAAACTTACGATGCCCTATTAAGTAGACACACCACAGCTTTGACTGACTTTCAGTCTTTGCTTATCACGTCTGCCGTAAATTTTGGCGAAAGTTTTACTATGAAATTTTCGCCTGTCTCTGCCCTGGTGAATATCTCCACCATTCTAGAGATTTGTTGGCCATTCACTGTCTTGTAATCATTCTCGTGGCTGCTTTTGCTACGCCGCAGATAGGTTCTGGGCCTATGAATGGCATTTATATTTATGAGACATTTTTTTGGCCATTTTATCTGCCTTTTCGTTAGCCTTAGCTAAGGAAATAATGTATTGCCGATACAGATGTATTGTATTGCGTGACTACATGCGAGCCGCCACTGCTTAGCACTTTCGTACTTTCGTGATCATATATCTAATGGTTTAAACTCAATTGTTGTTTTATACATTGCTATTAAAAAAATGTAAACAAAGCAATAAAAATAAAGTAACCTAATCACAAATATTGCACTAATTTGCTAATACTTGCTAATGATATTAATTAATATAATCTGTTAACATTTTTTTTGTCAATTTGAAATTTCTTAATTAACAAAATTATAAAGTTTGTATAGTATACCTATAATAAAAATATTCCGTATTTTTTCGTGGTACAAGTACCTCATTAAGCTAAAAATGCGCATATAGGTGTGAGGTGTATAATTTTCTAAAGTGCTACTTCGTACAAATTATACAAACAGCATTTATTTTCTCGGGTTCGTTTAGAAAAATATCTGAATATTTAAGATATGAGAATTAGTTGTGCATTATTTTTCTTTATTGTATTGGTGAGTGCAAATGGCTTAAGATTTTTGCGAAGAAGAAGTCAGGTCAGTAAAAAACAATAAGTTTTTATTAAACATTATTTAGGATAACTAAGTATAAAGCCTCGCCTACAAATATCGTTTTACCTGTCAGTCTTACCTGTTCAGTCAAAACGTGTTAAGTAAAACCTTGTGTACCGAGTACAGTAGATTACGAACCAACTAAGAAAATGCCACGAGTGTCACAGAAAAACGACCGTCTTCGCCCTTGATTCTAATAAAGACGCGTAAGTGCAAGCGAGACAATAGATGCCTAAACGATGACGCGGTGGCACTTTTTTAGTTGGTTCGTACTGTACTGTATTTTGAGCCTGTTTTTATGTTTTTATAGTTTTTTTTTACAAATTAGTTTTAAAACTACAGAATTATAGTATTTTGTTTCAATCAAGTTTTTTTTTTAGAATAAGACATTACAAATACAAACGCAGAATGGAATTGTGCAAGGCATCGAAGAAAGAAGCGGGTATGGACGAACATTTTACAGTTTTATGGGTATTCCATTTGCCAGACCTCCTATTGGAAATCTTCGGTTTAGAGTACGTTACAAGAAATATTAATATACTTATTAAACACTACAAAAAGAATATGAATAAAATTATTGTTGTATTATTTGTGGTTTATAACTTCAATAGAGTTCATCACTTAAATAGGACTCTTATAAAAATACTATTACTTCATATTTTCTTGCTTAATTGTATTTAAAAATAATTAAAAATATGTTAATTTGTTGATTTAAAAAAAATTATTAATAATATAAATGTCCTATATACAATATTTTAGGCACCAGAACCACCAAATCCATGGAGAGGTATTTTAGATGCAACGCAAGAAGCTTCATGTTGTATGGGTCTAGTACCGGAATATGTAAATGCTTTTAATCTGTCATCAGATGGCTCTGAAGATTGTCTTTACTTGAACATTTATACACCAAAGGTAGGTAATTTTTATAAAAACCCCTAGTATTTGTGTAATAATCCTAATCCTACTGAGACTGAGACTGAGCTTTCACACTTGAGCAAAGCTGTGATCATGAGACTGTCCTGAGCGACCTCAGTAGACAACCTCCTGTTTGGACATCTCTGTTACACGCCCTATAGTACGTTGATATTAGCATATTTAGAAAAAAAAAATTTTAAAGTTTTGATATGTTGAGGTTATACGTACTAAAAGGAGACATTTTAAAATCAAAAGAGTTCCTAACTGTAAAGTGTGAGCTTCACCCCAAGAAACCACCCCCAATACGCACTGCGGTGGTTTTTCTCGTTTTTCTCGAAAACCATTAGTTGCACAGAAAATTTTATTCTTGTCCTTATATATACAGGGTCCGGCAATAGTGCGTCGGGCATCTGTAGCTCCTAGAATAAAAAACTTGAGAATTTTGTTTAAATGTAAACCTAATCTGTATCAGGATGTATTTAAGGAAAATATTTTAACTTCTATAGGGTGGCTCAAAAAAGTGCGAGTGGACCTTGATGATTTTTTTTTAAATGGAACACCCTGTATATTATTGCATTTTTGGCTTCCTTTCGGATCACTTTACATAATCTTAAGATATGAATAAACATATTTTAATAGTCTCAGCGAAATTAAAAAATAAATCAAAAATATATATTTTACAGCCCTTAAAAAATTTATTAAAAATACAAGAAACGTTCTGAAATCAAAACTATATTAGGTATTTACTTTAGATGGTCTATACTTACTTTGCTATAAATATGAAAATCGTAAATTATACAGGATGTTCAAAATTCTACGCCAAACTTACTAAAATATAAAATAATTTTTCTTGGTTTTTTTTAAATGGAACACCCTGTATATTATTTTCTCAATAGACGGAGAATTAAAGAATGAACAATTTTTGTATTTAGAGTATTTCAAAATTTTTAACAGTTTCGCAGATGTTTGCGGTTTTATATTTTATATGGCATTTTCCACAGTAAATTTTTATCAAAGCCACCTAATGATTTTTTCTCGTATTTTACCTTTGAAAGCGCCATATGAAATAATACTGCGTGTATCTGCGAAACCGTTAAAAATTTTGAAATACTCTAAATACAAAAAATGTTCATTTTTTACTCTCCATCTAATAAAAAAATAATATACAGGGTGTTCCATTTAAAAAAACAAAGAAAAAATATTTTATATTTTAGAAGGTTTGGCGTAGAATAGTAAACATCCTGTATGATTTACGATTACCATATTTATAGCAAAGTAAGAACAGACCATCTAAAGTAAATACCTAATATAGTTTTGATTTCAGAACAGTTTTTGTATTTTTAATAATTTTTTTAAGAAGGGCTGAAAAATATATATTTTTGATTTATTTTTTAATATCTCTGAAACTATCGAAATATATTTATTCATATCTTAGGGTTATGTAAAGTTATCTGAAAGGAAGCCAAAAATGCAATAATATACAGGGTGTTCCATTTAAAAAAAAATCATCCAGGTCCACACACACTTTTTTGAGCCACACTATAGAAGTTAAAATATTTTCCTGAAATACATCCTGGTACATAGTTTAGGTTTGTACTTAAACAAAATTCTCAAGTTTTTTTATTCTAGGAGCTACAGATGCCCAACGCACTATTTCCGGACCCTGTATAATATTCCTTATAAAATTTGCTACAAAAAAGGTTCTTATACTTATTTTGTTTTTAAGAATAAATATCGAGCAACAAGCGATAGAAGTTAAAGATAGTTTTCAGCATAAATGATTTTTGACCTGACCTTATCAAATTATTTAATGTCAATGAATAAAACACTTTAAGATGTCAAAATAATGTTCAATTGTTGGAATGGTATAAAAATCAGTATATTTTTTAGTCGTGACATTGTTTTTAATATCAATATCTTATTGGTCGAACAGAAAAGCAAATTCCTAGGCAATATTAAAAATAAAGAACGATTAATTTCGCAGCTTGCAATACACCTAAACAGCGAGAATATTAGCACCTCATTTGCAATAGATGATGCTGATGTTCAAATTATTCGTACTGCCATCAAAATATCTGACAAAAATGAACAAGTTCTAGTCGTTAGACAAGATGTTGAACTTGTTGTTTTATTAGCAGCACTTTCCCCCGATGAAAAAGACATTTTTTTCTGAAAGAAGCCATAGATAATGTAAAACAACAAATGTATAGGTCGAGAGACTTGCAATCATCCAGTATTATACGTAATTTAAAAAAATCAATTTTATTTATTCACGCTATTAGCGGGTGTGACACAACATCTGGATTTTTTGGAAAAGGAAAACAACAACACGTACAAATATTTAATAAAGAAAAAGACCTTGATAGTATCGTCGATATTTTTAACAACGCAAAGTTAACACTTCAAGAAATTGAAAAAGCTGGAGAGACGTTTATACTGAAACTATACAAACTTCAATCAACTGAAGGGAGCCTTAGTGAGCAAAGATACGCCTGTTTCAATAAGTTAGTTGGTCAAGCAAACAGCACGGTACTTTTTTTCAAAATTGCCTCCCACATCTGCTTTAGCTAGGCAACATTCCCGGAGAACATATCTTCAAGTACAAATCTGGCAAGAACAACCTATAAAACCCGACTAGTGGGGCTGGAAAAAAATCAACAACACTCTGTCATCTTTATATACAACAGAATCGCCCGCCCCTGCTGCAATTATGTCATTAATAACGTGCAACTGCAAACAAGATTGTGTAAAAAGATGCAGTTGCATTAAAGCCGGCATGAAATGTACAACTATGTGCGGAACCTGTCGTGGGCAAAGTTGTTCGAATACTGAGCACCATAGAATAACTAACTGAAAGAAATGAAAACTCCTATGTTAAAGCCTGGAAACACGCGCTCGACGCGATCCAAGCGGGCTACTGGCAGAACTAAAAGTTCGCGCCATATTTTTAAATGGACCTTTACTGCCAGTTCATAAGTTTTTTACTTATATTTGGTAATTTCAATCTAGATTATGAACTTATTTGTAACAAAACATTTTACAAAAATAAAAATAATGTGTTTTGATACAAATAAATTAATAATCTAGGTTGAGAATTATCCCTGAAATTAGAATAAAACACGAAAAATTTGTAACTTGATTATTTTATTATAACATTGTTAATAAAATTACATATAACACATTCAACACTATACAAGTATATATAAAAGTTATCAGAATTTATACAATCAGTTATAAGTAATTATAAAAAAGGTTATAAATTATAAATAAATAATTCATTATATAAAAGACATATAGTTACCGTGAATATAATTTGGTATAACTTTAATCTCAACTTTAATGACCTATTCAAATAGAAACATCTTACAATTCACATTATATAATACACAAAGCCAAGGGACAAAATTGTTATTAAATCTATTCTCGATGACTCGAAGCATTTTTTTTTCAAATAAAACAGGACATATAGGGCTTATAAATAATACAAGGGTATAGAAAATATATAAATAAGTAAATACAAATATATTTTCAACCTAATGATTAATGATTATACTCGTTTAAATAAATAAATGATCTTTTTAAAATTACTTGTTTGTCTTTGCAAATTTGTATATTTAATATTTATCTAAAAGCGTACACTTACATAAATTACTGCACAACCTTTAAAATTAAGCTTTTAATATGTTATACAAATTCTTGATTCGATATAAATACACTTAAATAAAACTTTAAAATTAATGATCTTCCAAATTTCTGAGACAGCCATTTTGTTGAAAGAATTTGTTTTGATTATGAGAAATTTCATAAAAATTATCACAGGGATTAATTAATCTTATATATGAAACTACTTGGCTTTTAAATTTCACAATCCTATCGTCCAAAATACTCTAAATTCGCAAAAATCCGTAAATATTCCCATAAAAACAAATCACAATTCACTTCCACTTCACAGAAACTGACAGACATTGCCAGATATGGAATGACGTTTATTTTTCAATTTATTTTACTGATCTAACTGATCCGGGTCACTTAGAAATTAAATTTTTATTAAATTATTTAATTATAATTGTTTCTGGCGAAAGCAACTTCATATCAATGTTTATTCATAGGGTAACAAAGCACATCGCTGTAAAATTATCAACATTTTATATAAATATTTATATTTTTCAACTACTCCAACTACTCCAATTACTCCACAGAGAATCAAACGAATTGTTAATTAAACTATACTCTGTGTACTCTGTGGATGACTTGATAAAATCATGATGAAATTAAAGTCCCTAGATGAATATCTAGGGACTTTAGATGAAATTTCTACGCAGCGCCATCTATCCCTCTACTGGCAGAAACTCCGCCGTGTTTCCAAAAATTCAAATGGCAGTTTCATCCGCCTGCTGAGCACATTCTAGAAACTATAGACGATGACAATATGTAGATGAAAGTATGAATATTAGTTTAGTGGAATAGGCAATGTTGTTGTTTATATTATACAGTATTATATCTGTTGTGTGTATATTTAGCACGTTAAAATACCTTGGGAGACAATAATTTGAAAGGCGACCTGTATTTTTTTGTACTCCATTTTTCAAACGGTTATTGCTCGAAATGCATTGGATAAATATAAATAACGAATAGAATCCTTTTTGTAGAAAATTTTATAAAGAATATTTTCGGTAAGTATAAAATTTTTTGTAGGGCCAATGGGTTCTGAGAAAAAAGCTAAAATCTGCATTGGGGGTGTATTGGGGGTGTTTTTTTGGGGTGAAGCTCACACTTTAAACTTATAAGAGGTTTGCCAGTAAATAAACCTATACTTTGCTTGTTAAAGAATTTATATCGTTTGCTGTAAAAATGGCTTCATTAAATTTACGCATTTTCCAATGATTTTTGTCATTGATAACCCACCCATACATGGTCTACAAGGTCTGCAATACATGACTTTATTGTTTTTCACTTGCTTACTAAGTCGTACATTTAGAGGATGTTTTTTCTCTCCAATATACCTCTGGTTTAGTTTGTTCTGCTCATTTCTTTGTTAAGAAACTTCAGAGTCCTTGTAGCTTACTTCAAGTTCTTGTAATTTCTTGTAGAAACTTCTTTTAGTTCTATACTTAACGAGAGAGCGAGAGAGAGAGAGGGAGAGGTCTATTTTGATTTGCTTTTATAATTAGTTTTAATTATTTCGATGACACCAAATTATTTGTAGACTAAGGATTGTATTTTCCAGGTTTTTGTGTTTAGTTTAATTATTTATTTTAGAATCAGAATATAGAAACATTTAATCCTCTACCAGTCTATGTTTTTATTTATGGTGGTGGTTTTATGATCGGATGTTCTAACAGAGTACTTTATGGGCCAGAACATTTTATGGAACGTGACGTTATTTTGGTCACGATGAATTACAGATTGGGAATTTTAGGTCAGTAATTTTTTACATATTTTTTTTCTATATTACTTTGATTCTAGTTTTCTAAAATAAACATTTAAAAATCGAAATATTTGTACCTTAGAATGTACCTACTTATTTAAAGAAATTTAGAAACTTCTGTGGGGGTTTATTCGCAGAAAAAGTTATTTAAGTGATAGGAACGTATTTCAGTAACACCCGAGACCAAATTGTTACCATACCCCCAAAACAGTGCCGTGGCATATATTCTTCTTAACTTAGCTGCTTGAAGAGATATTTATATTTTTGATAAATGTTTTGACTACGCCTATCGTGTAAGCTGTGGTATCATACTAATTAATTACGAAAAAAACGTATTAAAATATTAACAAAAGGTACAAAACTAGTATCGACGTACAGCACATATCAAATACATATAATATCAGAAAAATAATTATCGAATTCAATAAAAAATTAAGAAACCGCTAAAAAGGTGGAGTGGATTGTTTATTTTTCTATGAAATGTAACTCCTGCCTCTTTCTTATCGCTGCGGCTTTTACACTTGAAAGTTGAACAACTAATCACCATTGTTATAAAGTTTATAGAGAGAAGACCAGGCTACTAGTAACATAGCAAGTTGCCGGACGAATTTACGTTTACCCAATTTGCGTTCGTACTCGAGATTCACTGCCGGCTAGTTGGCTAGTCAGGCAGTACGCAGTTGCAGTTGCGCTTGGACGGGTCGGTCGTGACAGACTAGGAATACGACGCGAGGAGTGCCGAGTATTTATTATTTTCATTTTAAGTGTTTACCTTCACTTAAGGTAACATTTAAAATAAAAATACTTAAATCTTTATTATTTGAGTGTGGTTACAAGCCAAAACTAAAAATAAATAAATTCTCTAAACCCCAAAAAAACTAAAATATACTCTAAATAAAAAAAAGTTATAACAAGTGTTGAAAAAGACCACCTTCTTGTGCTAGAGAGAAGCCTACGCGGTCGTAAAATCCCCGTCTGACATTGGCTAACATATTAGGGCTAATAGTTTGGAAAGCCTCTCGTATTTTTACTTGAAGCTCATCCAGATTATTAGCCCTATTATGACCATACACTTTCGGTTTTACATAACCTCACAAAAAGAAATCATTGGGAGAAAGATTCGGTGATCTAGCGGGCCACAAAATAGTTCCATATCCAGTAATTAAACGGTTAAACACTTGCTTTAACTCCTGTTCTTCATTAATCAATACATCCGGCTTCTTATGTTTTTGTGGGGACACGCACCCATGTGTTTCAAAATTATTAATAACTCTTGATATAGTAGGTAAAGATAGAATTGCCCTGTTTACAAAAGTTTGTGGAAAAATTGTTTGTATATCCCGATAAGACCTATTTTGGAAATACCATTTTACAATTTGAATTTTCTCACGAACTTCGTATACATCCATTATTTTACTCAAAAAATAAATTTTACACGAGAACTGTCGCGAGAATCTATGTTTGGCTATTAAAACACGAATAAATACAAATTATGAAACATTCTTATCACATATCTACCAATTTTTATTTTATCGGATTTTTTCGCCTGCTTTTTATCCGGCGGACGGGTATACGCTAATTCGTCCGGTTCTGCCTATGTTACTACTATGGTGGTCCGGTCTGTATAAAGTTCACGACACAAAAACTATTAAAAATCGCTAAAATTGTCGCTGATGACTCATTGGTTACAACCAAAAAAAGGCGTCTAACGACTAAACGACATTTATCAAACGACTATCTTTATTCATAAACATATGTAATAGGTACAATCGAATATTGCCACTAGGTGCAATAATAAATATTACACTTTATACACTCACCGGCAAAAAGAACCGGCCACTAAAAACTAGTCCCAATTTCAAAGTTGGATTTCTCGAAAACCACTCATTAGATTTTGATATTTTTTTTTAAATTGTAAATTAATTCCTTCTTAACGGATGCCACGTCAGAAATTTTTATTCCGAATTTATTTTGAGTTACAGGACACAACAATAAGACGGAGTTTTTTGCTCGAACTTTGCGACACCCTGTAGGGTGCAGCAGCTGTAGTAGCTATTGCTAAATCAAATCACATTGTAGCCTCATCTTTTGTGAGCATTTTGTTGTTTTAATCACGACATTATCTCTGTTAGGATAGACGCTCAGATACGCTGCTTTAAAACGAACGTCTCGGAAATATGCTTTCAAAACCGCGACCAAACCAATTCACATTTAAACGCGCAAGCTGAAGACGCGCTCAACGATATCTTGGGAGTAGCTGGGGTCCTGTGGTAGGCCTCCTTGCAGACAAGCTGTTTTCTTTTAGTCTTTGTTGAATTGTTCTCTCACTGACTTGAGTTCTACGCACCGCTTGTTGCAGATGTTGATTCTGAATCGCTGTAATTCTACGATTTCGTAAAGTATTTATGACAATAAAGCGGTCGTCAATTGCATTTGTCTTCCGTTTTCAGGAACCCACTCCCCTGGTGAAATTTTCCGTTTCCATATACCGATTCCAGGATCCACGATCCTGGACTGTTGTTCGAGGTATACACAGGGTATCGGACACATAACGTTGACTTCGGCCATCCTCAATTAAAGCCACAATACGAGCAACATCCGTCACAGATAATGGCATTTTTTAATTGGACAACCGTTGTTGTCATATTGCAAATATGTACTCATAAAAAAAAATAAAACTTTCTGTCTGCGAAGCATTTTTCCGAGACGTTCGTTTTAAAGCAGCGTATCTCCAACAAAAAGAGAGATAATGTCGTGATTAAAAAAACAAAATGATCACAAAAGATGAGGCTACAATGTGATTTGATTTAGCAATAGCTATTACAGCTGCTTCATCCTACAGGGTGTTACAAAGTTCGGGCAAAAAACTTCATCTTATTGTTGTGCCCTGAATATGCTCAAAATAAATTCGGAATAAAAATTTCTGACGTAGCATCCGGTAAGAAGGAATTAATTTACAATTAAAAAAAAATCAAAATCTAATGAGTGGTTCGCGAGAAATCCAACTTTGAAATTGGGACTAGTTTTTAGTGGCCGGTTTTTTTGCCTGTGAGTTTATTAATAAAATTCGAATTAAACCTAGTAAAACATTGAAAAGGTACGATTTAGTAGTTGGTACGGTATAGGCGACTTTCCTCTACTGAAGAAGATTACTTATTGACTTAATTTCTTGTAGGATTTTTTGTACATACACCGGATATTTTCGTTGCGTTAAAATAAATATTTGTTGTAGTAAACATATTTTTAATAAGACAAACAAAAATAAAATTACGGTTAAATTAAATTTATGGTTAAATTATTTATTAATTTAAGGTTTTATGAGTACTGAAGATTTAGAATGCCCAGGAAATTGGGGTATAAAAGACCAACTAGCGTCTTTAAAATGGGTGAATGAAAATATAAAGAATTTTGGAGGCGATAATAGAAAAATTACTCTTGGAGGACACAGTGCCGGAGCTGCAAGTGCAAACATACTCTTATTGTCGCCAAGAGCATCAGGATTATTTCAAGGTACAATTTCATAATTATATTTATTTTCGTTTCAATATATGTATGCATTTACATAACTTATTTAACGTTAATTTGTTGAACATTGATAAACACTCAAACGATTAATGTAAATAGACAAAACCAGTACAAAACAAATAATAAATTTTTTTTTTTTATTTTAAAAGTTAGTTATCGAAGATCGTATATAATTTTTTACATAAGTATTTTAGCATTTTATTTAGTTATAAAGATATGTTTGCCATACTTTCTTCATTTAAATATTTAAAGACTTTTGTCTACAGGGTGCTATAAATTCGAGGTACGAGCATTGGTGTCTCGGAAACCGTAATAGATACGAAGATGGTTAAATTGAGACAAAGTTGCGCCTTGGGCTGTTCACCAAGATGCCATCAAAAAAGTTTTAAAAATTTCAAGGATTGCTGAGTTTTTTGGAAAAAGCGGATTTTTTTGAAAACTAATTTTATTTTTTCCTGTCGTTACTTTTTAGAAAATCAAAAAACTAATTGGACATTCTCATAGCCACTTTATTAGGGCTATCTGACAGTATTTTTAGATTTTAAAATCAGCTGATAATTTGTGAGATACAGGGCCAATTTAATTTTTTTAAATACGGACCTGCATTTTTTATTTCATATTTTGAAAGAACTCAATCTTCTGAGTACAATGATATGCCACACTTTATACTTTTTTTTTGTTTTGAGTATCTTAACAGCAACAAAACTATTTATTTATTATTTAAAAAAAAAGTCCCATTCATCGCAACAATATTGATCAGTGCTCATTAATATTAAATAAGAAAAATTGAGCCAATTGAAAGATTCAAATAAATAACATCCAGATCAGCAATTTAAAGATATTATTTTTAACTTTTCTTGTTGTGAATTTGATAATTCTCAGTGTACGATCTAATAATTTGCATAATATTAATCGTAGTTATTATGAATAAATTAACTTGTACAAACTAGTTTCTAATGCTTTACATAGTCTACATGTTCGAAAGGGTTACCACCCTTCCTATTGCACAAATTTATTTATAGCCTTTGAATAGATCTTCTTATACTTTTGAATGCATTTTGTACTCTTTATTGTAACTGCCGAGATGTGTTGATTTCACTTTTTTGTAAATTTTGGACCTGTCGAAATACTTGACGTCATCAGACAGTCCAGGTACCTCGCTGGCCATTATACTGCTCTACCATTTCCAATCCATCTTCCGGGGAAATGATTTGATTGTTTATATTACATTTTATTATTTTATAGCATTTGATTTTCCGTATCCAACCCACGTCATTGTTAAGTTTAAAAGCTTATCAATATTGTAACGATGAATATATTAAATATTAAAAAAAAACAGAGCCGGACTTGAAATTAGTTTAAATAAATTGTAGCGTTTTTTTATAAACATTACCACTGCGAACGGCAGCTTTTCATCGGAGAGCAGTCGTGGATAAGGTATTTCACTGGAAAGAACTAATTAACAAGAATAACTCGAAAATATAAATATTGGGCGCCAGGCATGTACAGAGAAAGAAAACACAGTTGTTTTTTACTTAAAACTAGTGACTATATTCATTCATGATGTATCCTGATGGTAAATAGCATTGTACAATTTTAATAATTATTATAGTGGTTAAATACTATTACAAGGCGTAATGTAATGAAACCTAATAATCTAACCACTAAATATAGTCTGTACGATATTATTTAAAATGTACGTTATTAAGTTAAGACTGAAAAAAAAAGACTGAAAATTGTCCAAAAAAATAAATTATTTCCAAATTTCCAAAACAAAAAATATTAAGTGTGGCATATCATTATACTTAGGAAAGCCAGTTCTTTCAAAATCTAAAATAAAAAATGCAGGTCCGTATTTAAAAAAAATAAGTTGGCCTCTGTATCTCACAAATTATCAGCTGATTTTAAAATCTAAAAATACTATCAGATAACCCTAATAAAGTGCAATTAGTTTTTTGATTTTCTAAAAAGTATCGACAGAAAAAAATAAAATTGATTTTCTAAAATATCCGTTTTTTCCATTAAAAACTCAGCAATCCTTGAAATTTTTAAAACTTTTTTGCTGACATCTTGGTGAACATCCCAAAACGCAACTTTGCCCCAATTTAACCATGTTCGTATCTATCACGGTTACCGAGTTACCAATGCTCGTACCTCAAATTTGTAGCACCCTGTATATTCGGTACCAATTAAACTTTTAGTTACGTAATCAAGGGCGCGATTTATAAATTCATTGTTGCCAATCACAGACGTATTCGGCGCCGGGCTGACTAACTGGAATTTAAAGTTCCCGCTGGTGTCTCAGGTGGTAGCTCTGCTGTTAAAAATGTTAAGTTGTCACATTTATTTCCTGATATTGTCATTCGTTTTGACACTTGAATTGCGTTGTGATACTTTAAGCTTAAAAATGTTTACTAGCTAACCTTGCAGTCGAACATTGTTCTTTTTAGAACCTCTTTTAGTGCGAAGTCGTAAGATTACGCTTAATAGCGGTAAAAAACTCATCGCAACTTTATTAGAATATTTTGAAAGGGAAAGCGGTAGTAATGGCCCTTTATGTTCCTTAGGTGTTAAGAATGTCAGTTTTGTTGATGTAAATAATAACTGTTTATATACAGGGTGGCGCACCTCATTCGCCTCGGTTGATTATACGAAAACGGAAAGATGTAGAAACAAAATATTTTATGGGTATATGTGAGGAGGTAATGTGCACAATTTAAAATTATTTTGAAATGTACAGGGTGTTTCAGAACTAAGATCCATATCAAAGTTATATTTTTTCTTATGGAACACCCGGTATTTTATTTCATTTTTGGATTCTTGTGCCCAAAAAAAGGTATTTATTATAAGGGTTAAATATGTTTAAAATTTTTGGTTTTTGAGATATTGAAAGATATTTAAATTTGCATGCTACAATAGAATAGATTATTAACACCCTGTACATTACTTTTCAGAATTAGTTCTTGTGCTGAGTTTAAAGGTAGAGAAATAAACTTTACAGAAAGATGTTATTCCTTTCTTAACTGTATACAGGGGTATCAAAAATTGCTGGTCTATTTTAAATATTTATTTTACATAAAAACTTCGTTATTTCAAATGCAACACTAAGTATTTTTTTAAATAAGTTGAAGCAGATTTAAATGCTCTTTCAAACTATATTAGGGTTTCCTATACCTATCTGGCTCAGATTTTGAATAAAAAGCGATTTTTCAATAAAATTGTAATCAAGATGGCTAATGTTGTCATGGCAAGTTTCTAGCGACAGTTAGTAGCTATTTTCAAAATCGAAATTAGTTTATGGACTTATTTAAATTTATACCAGTTTACTTTTATTAAATTTACCTACAATAGTTTAATAAATAATATTTATTAAATATGTATTTATTATTCTATCAAGAAAAACGAAGACGTAGTCTTTGAATTATTTTACGATGACTTGTAGATACATGGATATTCTATAAAAAAGCCAATTACGGCAAATTCATTTTCTTCACTTCCAACGACAGGTTTCTGCCTAACAGGTTTTTTATAAACCACACTACCAGGCGAAATAGGACAAGAAGTTTTTCAAAGAAATTCTTATCAGGAAGATTCCTATTTGGATATCTTTGAGCATAAGCCCTTGAGGCCAAGAAGCAATTTTCCTCACAAAATAATATCACTATTAACATATCTATTCGTTCCGCCAGCAGATACTGCTTTATTTTTCTTGATAAAATAATGAATACTTACTTATTAAGCTATTGTATGTAAATTTAAGTAAACTGTTATAAATTATAAATAATAATGTCCATAAACTAATGTCGACTTTGAAAATAGTTACTAACTGTCACTAGAAAATTGCCATGGCGACACCAGCCATCTTGATTACAATTTTATTTAAAAATCGCTTTTTATTCAAAATCTGAGCTAGATAGGTATAGGAAACCCTAATATAGTTTGAAAGAGCATTTGAATCTGCTACTATTTAAAAAAATACAGGTTGTTACATTTGAAATAACAAAGTTTTTATATAAAATATATCCTTAAAATAGATCAACAACTTTTGATAGCCCTGTATAAATTTAAGGAACCAATACCATTTTTCAGTAAAATATTTATTTCTCTACCTTTAAACTCAGCATAAGAATTAATTCTGAAAAGTAATGTACATACAGGGTGTTAATAGTCTATTCTATTGTAGCATGCAAATTTAAATATCTTTAAATATCTCAAAAACTATAGATTTTAAACATATTTAACTCTTATAATTAATGCCTTTTTTGGGCCCAAGAATCCAAAAATTAAATAAAATACCGGGTGTTCCATAAGAAAAAATATAACTTTGGTATGGATCTTAGTTCTGAAACATCCTGTATATTTCAAAATAATTTTAAATTGTGCACATTGTCTCCCCACATGTACCCCTAAAATATTTTGTTTCTACATCTTTCCGTTTTCCTATAATCAACCGAGGCGAATGAGGTGCGCCACCCTGTATTTATAATTATTATTTATTTTTGTTTCTTAAAATATTTTGATCAAAAGAAAATATGTAAAAATGGGCAACGCTGTGCCGGTCAAGCTTATTCACGTGATTAAAGTTTATTTGGTATGATCTTGTACTTACATAGATATACGTACTTATCTCTATGCTATTTTCTTGAATCGTACGGTACGGGTACAAATTATGAGCAACCACACAGAGGCACGTTTAGACAAAATAATTGAAAATAACTAAAAATCAACTGTTTTATTTTTCTTAAATTTAACTCTCCTTTTTCTCTTAACTCTAGAAAAATAAAATATGAGAGCATAGAATATGAGCTGTTATTTATAACAAATTTATAGCACTCAATATACGTATTTGACATTGTATATTCTACATCAATATTTTTTTAAGGAATTATAATGCAAAGTGGAACTATTTTATGTCCTTGGAGTAACCAAACTAAATCCAGAGAAATAGCTTTCAGAACTGGATTGGCTTTAGGAATTGAAACACAAAATAGTAAAGAGTTGGTCTCTGAGCTGAGAAAAGTGGATGTAAAAGAACTGACCACAAGAATGATACCTGTTTTATTATTGGTTAGTAGTAATGTATCTAATATACCTATAAGAGAAGACCAGGCTACTAGTAACATAGCAAGTTGAAATAAGAAAAGTATACATACTTGATTCGTCGGTGAAAACTATACGCCGAATAAAGTTTTCATCTAAATTGGCCTTTTCCATTACAGATTCACAAAATGCCATACGCCGAAATTGGTCTTCATGGAAAATTTCTTGAGTTTTGCGCGCTTTATACGATCGGTATCCATTCTTTTTAAGGACTCTTTAACCGTGCTAGATGAAGAGTCTGTTACCTCAGCAATTTGATTACTTGAAAACGTGGAATTTTGATCCGCGGTAGCACAAATGAACACTTGCTTTAACTCCTGTTCTTCATTAATCAACACATCAGGCTTTTTGTGTTTTTGTGGGTACTCGCACCCATGTGTTTCAAAATTATTAATAACTCTTGATATAGTAGGTAAAGATGGAATTGGCCTGTTTACAAAAGTTTGTGGTAAAATTGTTTGTATATTCCGATAAGACCTATTTTGGAAATACCATTTTACAATTTGAATTTTCTCACAAACTTTGTGAACATACATTCTTTTACTTAAAAAATAAGTTTTACACGAGAGCTGTCGCGAGAATCTACGTATTCGTATTGGCTATTAAAACACGAATAAATACAAATTCTGAAACATTCTTATCAAGTCGGTCCCAGACACTACGTGCATTTGGCGAATATTCGGTATTCGAGCTTATTCGCGTAGCGTGTGGGAGGTTACCTTCGACGAAGATTCGTACTTCGTCATTTTCCCGGCGGTTGTCGGTAAACTGGCACGAATCAAAGGAGCTCGTAGTGCGGCGTAGTCAACTTCGGAATTTCTCCCAGACGCTCCGGCTATTTGTTTACGTATTTTTTTGTTTTAGCGGCGCGCTCCCCTCAGTTCACTCGTGTATTGCATTGGTAACGGGTTCATTTCCATTATCTTTATTACTCCAAAATGGAATGGACAAACGAGCTAACTTTGGAGTTTTTGCAATTATTCGGTAGTGAACCAGTGATTTGGAATCCACGGATTCCAGATCATAAAAACAGGAACAAAGTGGCTGATGCCTGAAATAATATACAATCAAAGTTTAGCGTAGAGTGTTCGGTTGTCGAATTAAAAAAAGGAGTCTTTAATGGCAATGTTTTGCCAGTTGTTTAATAAAGTGAAAGCTAGTTTGAGGTCGGGTGCTGGTAGGGATGAAGTCTCCAAACCTACGTGGTTCGCATATCCACCATCTTCTTCTTTTACGTTCTTTTTTCCTATTTCGTAATAATAAAACACTGCTGAAAATTAACAACTAGCAGCCACAATAGCTATCTGCTCTACTTCACTGTCCATTTTGAACTGCAGCAGCACTGAAGATCAAGACGTCGCGCGGCGGCGTTACCTTACTACGGGAGATATTTGTCATTAGACGCATTTTTACAAATAACGTAGCGTGTGGGAAGGTGGCCGAAGCCGCAGTACATAATTCGAATGTTCGCACATTCGCTAAATGCACGTAGTGTCTGGGACCAGCTTCACATATCCTATTTTTATTTTATCGCATTTTTTCGCCTGCTTTTTATCCGGCGGACGGGTATACACTAATTCGTCCGGTTTGTATGTTGATATTTTCTATACCTAGGGTGATTAAGGTTGATGACAGATTCCTCTGGGGATTCAGGTGGTAGCTCTGCCGAAAATAATGTCAAGTAGCCACATTTATTAATTTATTTTCTGACATTGTCATTGGCGTTGACACTATAGATTTGTATTACGAGTTTTGGTTTATATAAATAGTGTTGTGGTACTTTAAGCTTAAAAATGTTTACTAGCAGATGTTGCAGTCAAACATTGTTCTTTTTAGAACCTCTTTTAGTGCAAAGTGTACGAGATAGCTTAATAGCTGTAAAAACTCAGTTTATGAAAAACTTACTTTATGTTCCTTAAGTGCTGTTAAGGTGAGTTTTCTTGATGTAATTAATAACTGTTGATATATTTATAATTAATTTATTTTTGTTTCCTAAAATATTTTGATTAAAAGAAAATATGTAAAAGGGGGCAACAATGTGCCGGTCAAGCTTAATCACGCGACTAAAATTTTATTTGTTATAAACTATATTTTTGAAATGCAATGTTATTAGTATTTCAAATTTAAATGAACTAAGGTAATTAAATATTTCTATAAGAATCGAAAATAAATATTTCTCATTTTGTAATTTTATATCCTATCAGTTATTTTATACCAGTCATTTCATAAAATAACTGATACCGAATATATTGACTTTCCTTAACAGATATAATATAAAATTATTGTATAGATAGAAACAATAGATACAACAATTTTATCAATTTATTGACTTTCATTAACAGATAACCAGAATTTCAATATGGTGAAATAATGATTTTACCAACGCTTATTCAAGATCATGTTTTTGCCTATATTACCATATTTTTATTATACTTAGGTAGTTATTTCGAAGTCTATAAGAGGTTTAATAAAAAAGTATAATCACCTAAATATTAGAAAAGTAGTTGAAAAATTGCGAAAAATTAAAGTATATAATTATATTGTAAAAGTATATAATTATATTGTGTGTGTTGTATATAAAATTATATTGTATTGTGTGGTACATTTTTGTTGCGAGGCTGTACGTTTGACATTACAGGCGAGGCATTACAGGTTAAAAGTAAAAGCAACTTTATAATTTTAAATGGATCACTCCGTATATTATTACATTTACCGGCCGAGAACGTAGCACAAGGGAACTATCGTCGGAGTCCTCACTGTGCCATAGCCATCCCGTGCTACAGTTGCAGCCAAATCACAGTTTAATCTTTTTACCACCGACTTTTAATCTCCAAAATGAAAATCCAGTTAAAACCCAAACATCCACACTGTAAAAAGTAAAGCTACATGACCAGATTGAACGTACGGGGTCTAGAGAACAACGATACCGCCGACGCCCTCCGGGAAGCCATCAAAGAATCTCTTCCACCGATAACTTCAATCTCAATCGTGGATGCTAAACATGGCTGGACACAACTAAGAGATGCGATTCGCAAAACCAGCAAAGCAGTACTGGGAAAATCCAACAAAAAGAAACACCCAGACTGGTTAACGAAAATCAACCGCATATACAGGCTTTGTTGGAACAAAAGCATAGAGCACATCAAGCCGTCACTGCAAATCCACACAATCCAAGACTAGCAGACAACTTTAAAGCAGCCAACAACACGCTCCGAAGAAACCTACGCCAACTAAAGGATAACTGGTGGTCGCAAAAAGTTAGTCAGATTCAGGAGTATGCCACGCATCACGACTATCGTAAATTCTTCGAGGCTGTAAAAGAAGTATACGGTCCAACTAAGAAGCAAGATGCCCAATCATGGCACAAAATGGCAAACTTCTAAAAGAGGAAGAGCAAATCAGAAATCGCTGGAAAGAGCATTACAGCCATATCCTTAACCAAGAAAACAACCCCAATATGGAAGCACTCAACATAATACCTCAGTATAACAGCCTCGATGTATTAGACATTCCAATAACAGAACAGGAAATAAAGGACTCCATAAAACAGCTTAAAAACAACAAATCAGCTGGCTGTGACGCGATCCCGGCGGAAATCTATAAGTGTGCAAGTAAAGAACTTATTGGTCATCTTAAGGCTCTCTTTGATGTCATATGGGAAAGCGGAGAGGTACCTCAGGACTTTTGCAACGCGAATAGAGTGAATATATTTAAGAACAAAGGAAGTGCATCAGACTGCGGAAACTACCGAGGAATTTCACTACTGGCTATCGGAGGAAAAAATCTTGCAAAAATTATGACAAACCGCCTGCGCCCACATATAGAAAAATCCTCCCAGAATCGCAAACGGGTTTTCGCACCAACCGCGGTGCCGTCGATTCCATATTCTCCATCCGGCAACTACAGGAAAAGTAAAAGAGCAGCACGTTGCATTCATCGATCTAACAAAGAATTTCACCTTCTGTGAACAGAGATGCACTTTGGGCAATTATGAAAAAGTTCGAGTACCCACCAAATTTCTTACAGTGTGTAAAAAGCCTCCATAACAACAACAAATCAAGAGTGTCATACCATGGATCACTGAGCGATCCCTTCCTAACAAACACAGGCGTTAGGCAGGGATGTGTCTTAGCGCCTCTCCTATTCAATATATTCATGGCAGCGCTCTCCATTATAGTGGACAGCAAACTGCAGGAGAGAGGATTGGGCATTAGATAGAGATACGACGGCGGTCTGTTCAACATAAAAAGACTCAGGGCAAAAACACGTACAAAATTCATCACAGAACTTCAATACGCTGATGACTGTGCTCTAGTTGCAAATACGTTACAGCAATTGCAAGAAATGTTGAACACATATACATGGGCATACGAGGCCTTGGTACTTCAGCTGAACATCGATAAAACTAAAATCATGTGCACTCCCCCGGAAGATCACAACAATGCTATAAAAATCGGAGATGAGCTGTTGGAATATGTAGCGGAATTCAATTACCTCGGCAGTTTGATTTCGGAAAAGGCCAATATCGACTCTGAAATTCAGCACAGGATTAGCAGCGCCTCAAGAGCATTCTGGAAATTAAAAGACAGGGTTTTCTACAATCATGACTTAAGCACAAAAACGAAACTTGCGGTGTACCGAGCGATAATAATTCCCACCATGTTATATGGAAGCGAAACCTGGGTGCCGTACCGCCGACACACGAACGCATTAAACAAGTTGCAACAGAGACATCTTAGACAACTCTTAAGAATAAAATGGTTCCATCATGTCTTAAACGTATCGGTCCTTGAAAAAGCTAACTGCGAGAGAATTGAAGTCATGATTACAAAGTCCCGCTTAAGATGGGCTGGTCACGTATGCAGAATGCAAGAAAACCGCATACCAAAATCGCTGCTTTACGGTGAGCTTGTAGACGGTAAGAGGAGGCCGGGTGGACAACTCAAAAGGTTCAAGGATATTTTCCA